GAAACCAAACAGAAGCACTATGAAGCTCATGGTCTATTTAAGAGATCCAAAACACAAACCAGCACATCCTGTGAAAACTGCATTTATATGGTCAGCCTTATAATTTTGCATACTGCTAACAAAAATGGGTTGTAAAAAGGCTTTTAGCCTTACGGGCTTTACAATAAAGTTGTTCTTTTCCCCTACTGCTTACCTAACGTATATTTATTTTTCCAGCGAACAAGCAACTTCAAATTCAACCTCTTAAACTCTTTTTTTATTGTAAAATATTTAGGCAAAAAGTTAGCCTAGTCCAATGGCAGCCACTGTGGTTGCGCTAATAAAATTGTGAAGAACTTCTTACTTGCAATTGGTGAGCTAATCAACCTGTAACACTTCTGCAGTTCTGCCTCATACTGCAAAACTGGGCTCAAATGCAAACCGTTTAAGAAGCCAGGTTTGAGTGACCACTCTGAAATTTTGCTTGGAGTTCAATTCCCTTACCCAGGAGGAAAGGCTGAGAAGGAGAAACAGCAGTGGTCGTCGAGTTTTAACACTGTATGGTTAACATTAAAGCCAAGTCTGTAACCTTACGGCTAGAGACCAAACTTATTGCTCAATTCTCGTTAGTGCTAACCGGAGTAAGTTACCCCTCCACATGAAAACAATACCAAGAAAAACACAACTACTAGTGTAATTTAATACAAAGAGTTTTCATTCGCTGAGAAGAATTAACTTGCTTTATGCTATGGGAAATGAACTTACACCGGCTACGAAAACCCAGCTGCTGCAGATCCCCCTTCGGTGAAGAGGAGTTCCCTCCGGCCAGGGACAGTGTGCTTGCAAGTATCTCCATAAACCTCTGCAGCTACTGCTGCACAAACTCAGCAAACATCTGCCGTTAATACTGCTGAGACGACATTTAGCAACCAGATGATACAATTACAAAGGCTTCAGAAAGAAGCTCCTTTTTTGTTGTTGTTGTTACTTTTAAAAGGATTAAAAATACATAAGAAACCATAAAAGTCTTTTCTTTCCTATAATTTTAATCTGAGCAAACTACCAGTCTGGTGCTCTGCTAGTTTAACTCGTGCCAGAAACTTTGTTTGATGTCCTGCCAGCACACTGCTGCCTAGATTTTCAGTTTCCCCGAAGAAGATGTATATTCACCATACGTGACCTGAGGTTAACCGCTTCCATGTGGAGTGCATGTGGTGCCCAGCAGGCCTGTGTACACAGATGGATTTCACCCTAGATACTCCCTAAGTCACATTAACACCTTTTTATGGTAAGTTCACAATGAAGATAACAAAAACTATGTTTAAAAGCAAAAAGACAATTATTTGATGAATACTAAAGAAAAACAGGAGGCTAGAGGTGAGGGAAAAGGTTTGCTTCTGGTCAGCAGGATTGCATGTTAAATTGGATTTTATTTTGGATTGCAAGTTGGCTGTCCCGTGTTACCCTGCAGCTGACGGCGTGGCAGAGGTAGCAGATGACTGTCTTCTGCCTGCTGTGGGCAAAACCAAAGCGCACCTCTGCCTGGCCGCAATGCTGGGACCTGGGACAAGGTGGACCTGGCCCTGCAGTGCTGGGGATGGGGACAGAGGCCACTGGCGTGCACTCGGCTGCCAGGGGACCTACTAGCTGCTTTTTGGCTAGCAACGTGTGGCTCTGATTCCTGACAGAGTGGGAAGCCTGGGCACCTCCTCGGCCAGAGCCCGTCCGATGGAGATGCTGCAGGTTAAGTTAGTACCAACTGTCATCACACTGAAGTTGAAGGGAATTCCTTTGCCTGCTTCAGGTTGACTGGCTTTTTTCCACCCTCCCTAAATGCAAAGCTCCTTGGCACCATCTGGAAGAGCTCTGAGGGGATACAGAGCTTGCAAAAAGGCTTCTCAATCTTTCTCTATCTGGACCCTCTTGCCTGCCACAGCCTGTCCTAAGCAAAAGCACCGTGGTCGCCTGTTGCAGTCACGTGCAGGACATGAAAGTTGGCTTTCGCTTGGGATGCATTGAATGGGAAATGCTTCCCACACTGATGGGACAACATTCCACACAGTAGCCAGGAGATGTGGGTATGTGGGAATATACTCCCTCCCTGCCATCTCTTCAGAGCAACAGCATCGCTTGTATCATCACAAAGAGCCAGCCAACTGCTTGAGGCACCATAGGCAGCCATGTCTCTGTAGCTAACTCCTCATCGCTTTCCAATAGCACTTTTCTAGAGTCCCCCACGTGACGCTGGCAGCAAAGGAGGAAGAAGCAGCTTCTTCTCAGTCTCTCTTAGTCTTAATGCTACAGGGATTATGGATGTTTTTTATCTTTTTTTTTTTTTCAACTGACAGCTGTCCCACTGGTGACTGTCACATCTTTACAGAATACCAGATCATTGTGACTGAATTCCATTGGTTTTACATGCATAAATACAGAACAAATGTGTGCAGAAGAGATAATTAAATAAAAATCGACAAGATGCATTTATTGGTTTAGTTTTGTACAAAAGCATAACTTAAAAGGCAGACTAGTATAAACTTACTTTGTGCCAAATATTTAAACTTTTCATTCTGAGGAGTTTCTGGTTCAAAACTTGTAGATACAGTTTCCACCTGGGAAATCACCTTTTTGGACCACAGATAACACGGTATTGTAAAATCAAAATTCTGCAGTCCTTCAGCCAATCAAAAGTTGCATTCTGCTTCGAGTGCCAGAGTTTTAGCTACTCAGTGGATGGATCACATGAAACATGAGCCATGCTGGAGTGACCTGGTGAAAGTCAGTTAGCCTACTGCTCCTCCGTGTTCTGAAAAAAGATGTGCATTAGGATCTGTGACATGCAATCTTAGCAAAGACTGATAAATACATGTGTAAAAATAGGGTGACATGTTTGGATTTTTTCCTCACTACTTCATACCAGCCAGAAGTAGCGTAAGAAAATCCATGTTACTTAAGCGGGTCCCAGATGTCATGCAGAAGCTCAATTATTCCTGAAATAAAAGAATGCTTTCACTCTGATTTTGCAAGTGGGTTTTCCTTTGCACCAGTAACATTTTCTCAGTAAGCCTGGAGGGTTTTCTCAGTCTTTGCTGCCACCACCACAGTTGCACCTGCCTTTCGACGTGGAGGGTGGCGTGGCAGTCTTTGCTGACGGCATCTCCATAGATGTTCAGATCCACTGGAAAAAACCTTCCATAAGAACAACCAGGATACCTCCCTGAGACGCCCTTCCAAGAGTCTCCAGAGTGAGAATGTTACTTCAAAAGCTACTTTTCCCACAGAAGAGGGCTTGCTGTGCTTCAGTGCTATCGAAAGGGCTAGCGCAAAGCTAGATTCCTGTTCTTGTCATCCAGTATCCAAGTGCAACTTCCCGGAATTTTAAAACGTGGTGGCCACACTGCGTGACAGCAGCTGTACAAGACACGGTGCGCAGCTGTGTAAGTTCCACAAGACTGTCTGGAGGAAAGTACCAAAAATAGATGCGAGCAAGCCTCATGTATTTCAGCAAAATTAAGCATAAAGAAATTGGTGTCCATGCAGTGCTTGATACACCATAAAAACCTCTTTCAACTAACAATTGATAAGAAAACTATTTATCAGTGAAAATGCAAGCTTAGATGCTATGAATGGTTTACATCTTGTAGGTGTTCACTGATACGGGACAGTGGCATTATGACCAGCGGCTCACCTTGAAGTAGGTTACTCATGGGTTTCCAAATGAGCTAGTGTTTTATGGTGCTGTACAAATAAAAAGTTGTGGGGAGTATATGAAATATCTGTATTAAACTCCACTGCATTAAGTTATCCAATGCATGAAAAATGACTCAGATGCATTTAAAATAAATGCATATTATAATATCACATATAGTACTATAAAATTATTACTTATGTGCACAGTCCTGATATCTCTAGACATGGCACTGTGAAGAAAGCCTGGTTCCTAAGCATTTTTACAGATACTTGATAGTGATGCAGTTTGCTATCGGTCAGATCGTAATGTCCCTTCGACTTTGGTACATTCAGTGCAAAATATTTTGGGGAGTTCTTTACTCTTATAAAAATAAAAGGCATTTTTTTTCCCCTTGAGAGTGCTTAAAGAATAAACACTAGCAGAATGTCTGTTCGAGCACGAAAACTGACAAAAACAGAAATAGCGCTTTAGTTTGCTTGTTTCCTGTTTACGCTCTAAGAAACATAATATAGTGAACCTATAAAAATAAACAGAAGTCACTGTGTTAGGGTTTTTTTCCTGATATGCTGTGATAAATTGCTAGTTTCTTCTTAAAATAGTTTCCATGCAGTATAAAGCATAAAATCAGTCTTATTATGTTAATTATAACAGCTGATCTTTTGTCATACACACCACTGGCAAACACATTTCCATAAACCTCCTTAATGCAAGCCGTTGTTGTTACATCCTCTGTTGCTGACTTTCCTTCCAATTCACTTCTGCCCTGGGAACTTGAGCTCTGTGGCGCACACCATGCAGGCACTCGTAATCTTAGGTAAAGCAAGTACTGGATGTGCTATTACAACATACGGCATAACGTAATGTACCTTCATTAATTAAAAAAAAAAAAAAAATCTATTGTATGATTTTTTTGATAATTTACTGGGTAGGTAAGGGGCTGAATGATTTCACATTTGACTTGAATTTTCTATTCAACGACTTTGATGAAATCCAGTTTTCGGGTCCGTGTCAGTTTTGCAGTAGCCAGGTTGGTCACAACATGAGATCACATTTCTTGTTTGCTCAGAACTTAAGAAGTTTGGCCATCCTGAAAAACCATAGATTGCAAGACTTGGTTTTCCCTGCACATTAGGCACACTCTAGTTTCACTGCAGAGAATTCTGCCACTACCGTAATGCTTTTTAATTGCTTCATAAGCTCTTTCATGGAACCTCACTATTTGAATTGCACCGTGAAACAATTTTCCTCTAGGAAATCCAATACAAACGTTCATTCATTCCTCGAGAAGACAGATCCACAAAAGTCCAACGAGCTGGGCACTGTGGTTTGTGTATCACTCAAGTCCAAAAGTACTTGTCTCTTCAACTGCTGTCAACAGTTTTTCATATAACATAGAGAATGATGGATAAGGGGGAAGGTCCAGACGATTGAAACAAGTGTGAGCCCTGAGGGGGGGAAAAAAAGAGGAGATGAAGAAACACATTATTAAAAAAGTTCAAAAGAGAACACACAGGCTGGTATGTGCTTGTGTAGAGATGGGCAGATAGTATTCTTTCAGAAGACTTTGTTCTGTCAAATGATGTTTTCCAATTGAACAGGTAGTGAGGTTTAATCTACTTTTTTCTAATTAAAATAAGCCAGTCAGAAGCATTTTTGAAGGTCTTTAGAAACAAACTGACAGCCCAAAAGGCATGGGATAAATTTTAACCATTAAATGTGCATGAGAAAAGAATGATACAACATGGAACAATTCAAATAGTCTGTTCTGAAATCTTGGCTTTAAACGTATCTTCTGAGAAGTAGTGTTTTTTTCTGTACTGATGATAACTTGAATACTATGTTTGTAATCATAAACAAGATATTTCAGCACATTGAATATGTGTAAGATATTAGGTTTGATGACATATGAAAAAAATATGCTCAAGTTATACAGGAAACAATCCCACAGTAGCAGAGGAGAGACAAATCAAATGCTCTTCCTTCTACATTTCCTTGGCATATAGATTGTGTTCTTGAGGAGTTACTGCTTGTGCTGAGGTACACTATGTACATATCTGGCCCTGCAAACCAACGACCTTTAGAATAATAGTTTTTGTAATTACAGAAAACTATGCATGTACCTCCAGCATACCGTCCTGCTGTCTCAAGAGGACAGACACATGGTAATTTCTCAGTTTCCAAAGTTCATCTACCTCAGTTTTTTGACACACTTGGAACTGACACTTGAAATCTCTTCCAGGGAATGAAAAAGGAGATGATAAAGGTTTCTTCTTTTAATAGAATAATGGATATCATTGCCTGACCTCAGGGCAGGCTAAGGATAATACGTTCTAAAACACTATAGTGGATGAGCCTGCTCTAGTGAAATAGACAGCACAGTTATTAATGCAACAGATTCTTGAGGAAGAAATGATGTGAAGAGAAGCTGGAGGAGGCATCTCTTCCACTCTGAAGCTTTGTACCAAAGCCTCACTTTAGACTGCCTTTAGAGGATAAAAGCCTTGTAGTATTTTGGCAGGTCTCTGTTTACAAATACTTTATTCTTTTGTAATAAAACACATCACAGAGTTATACAAATACAGCCCAGCTGAAAAACAAAGTTTTCCAGCAGTGACCTGCCCTTCATCAGCATGACCTGTATAAAGTGTAAACGTATAATGTCAGTGGAAGGACTGAACAAGCTCCCTCCTTGCAGCAAATGCAATTCTTCATTTAACCTAACCGCTCCCAGAAATCTGAGTGTCTGCAACAGACCTGTACTGAGCTTCCTCTGAGCCAGAAAGTGCTGCCTTCCATGGGAACAAATTTATTAATTGCCATTTTAAGTGGCTCTTGGCTCCCAACTATGGAGATGGAACATGAAGTGAAGTGGGTTAATCTCGTTTGTTCCAAACATGAGTCTATTACAAACCCTCACTGAAGGTGAAACACTCACCTCACAAAGTAATACCTGTGATATAGATTAAATTATTAAGGCATTCCATGCACTTTTGTTTTTTTTCTAAAAAAAGGAAAAAAAAAATTCCCTTTTGAAGAAAGAGATCGATTTAGACCCAGCGGCAAATGAGCAACTGGAACTCAGTGATCCCTTGAGTTCAGTGTAGAGTGTGGAAGACTCTTAGGCAATTAACAGTCTAACCACATTCTTCTGCTGCACGGGGCGGACAGCCACTCATTAGAACTATGGGTCATGCTGTGTGGGCCGTAAAACCACAAATTATAAAAGACATACTATATAATTAGCAAGGGATTCATTATGAACTGGTTTAATAGTAAGCCAGCATGTTGTTTACATTTATTAAGAGAACTGAGTTTTATCTTAATTTTGAGGGCAATTTTGAAAACACAATCACCTACTTTGGAAAACCAAGTCATTAAAAAAGACAAAAACTTAACGATCTTTGTCTTCTGAGGGAACGCATGCCCTTCTCACCCTAGCAAGCAACTCTGACAGTCTTCAAGAAGAAAGGGGGTGGGTTTTTTTTTCCTCTGGACAGTATTTTCCCATTCCAACATTTCAAACTATGTGGGCACTCACTGTTTATCTTCCTGGACTCACATTTTATGACATGAAAAAACATCTTGGTTCTTGAAGTCTAGATTCCCAATTAATGTCCCCTTCATTTTGGTTACAGTAGGAAAACAGAGTGAGTTAGGGTTACAATCCAGCAGTCAGGCACAAATGTAATTTGCAGGTGGATCATCACATGCACATATATATAATGTACAGCAATGAGCCTAGAACCAATTTCTCAGCGTGTAAGGGAATTGAAAGAGTAACAGTCCTTCCACCGATTTAGTGTAATCTACAACACTGTGAGAAAGAAGGGAGTAGAAGTGGCATCGGGGATAGCAATAGTTAAGCTAAGCCTGTAATAACGCATCTTTTCGGGGTCTTTTACATGCTACAGACTTATTGGTGTAAAAGACAGTGACAGAAGCTAAGCAACATGACACGTGCCTCACAGAAATCTCACTATTTTGATTCAGCAGAACTGATGACACAGCAGTCTGAGCAGTGGGAACTAGGTAAACATCTAGTGAATACTTTTGCATTTCACAGCTGCGTAGACCACAATCATATACCTAAGTAGCTATATTAGTTGCCTTCTGTGTCTCAAAATCAGGAAGAAGAGATGGCTATTCTTATGTGTTTTCAGCACTGCAGGAGTTTTTTTAGAAACAGAGGAAGAAACATAAAATCCACTGCCTTGTTGAGTTTTAGCTTTTGCCACCCTCACACCAAGTATTATCAAATTTCACAAGCGCTCCCACTGAAATCAAAAGGGCAATCTGCAAAGTTTAACACTGTTACGAGTGAGTGACAGTGCCTTAACAGAAACTCTTTAGTTATCTGAGAATCAGTAAGAGTCACAGAGTCCTAGGGCAGCATTCTCAGCAGGCCCAGCAATGTGTTTACACATGCAGGGCTTGGTTGGAAACTTCTTCAAAGTCTGCTACTCGGGGTCATTGTTTATGATGTCTTACCTTCAAGCCAGTACTACTTGGTGTTTGCACAGTAAGTCTTTGCAGCTGGTGAGATGCAGGCTGAAGCTACTCTGCATGCAGGAACTAGGTATGTAAAAATGCAAATAGTCCTTTCTGCTTAGGGCTTAGTCCATTTAAGCTTAAACATGGAAGATCATTCATTTTTTATGAGATCAGGGTTCCATGTATGAGTGTTAGGAATTGCCAGCTCATGACAGCTGTCAATGTTTGTCATGTGCAGTTGTTTATTTTAACAAAACAAGTGTGTTAGTTTATTCTAATTCTCACACTTGTATGTTAAAAATGATCCACAGAGAAAAAGCAAACGTTTCCTGAGCAAGGGAATCAAATGAAATTTCAAGGGCACCATACATTCCCCTAAATGGGAAGAGTCAGCATTTCCCCTACAGTTCCTGAACACCTTCGGGGAGAAAAGACTCTCAACACGTTTCTCCATGTTGCTCTGCAGGAAGTTCTATTCTGCAGTTTATTACCACCAGAGCTCTATGTAACCTTTCCAGAGGAAATTCTGAGCAATCTGTTCAGGCATGTCCTGGCCTTTTCCACACTGCAAGCTGTGCTTGTTAGCACCAGGAATTCCAGTATTAGAGAATATATGGAAAAATTTCCACAATCTCTTTTTTTTTTATTTTGACTCACAAACACATCTAACATTTTGAAGTCAGAAATGATTTTTTAAAAATCAAAGCTTTTTCTTTTTAAACAGAATCAAAGCTAGTCCATAGGTCAATCGTAATCAAACTATAAAGTAGACTTATCAGGCTACAAGGTATTACTAAAAGATACTGGAGTATTTGATCTGAAATAGCAATTTCCAGAATTTGCTTATCTTTAATCCTCAGTTGCCTGGCTCTCATTTGTACTGTAAACCGACAAGATGGCTTTGTTTAAAGGCCACTTGCTGTGCCTGTGGATTTCACAGTGCCACTTCTGTGTCTTTTGACTTTCTCCGTGCGGTTCAAACGGCAGCCTGCAGGCAGGAGCCAACCCAAGAGACATCTCTGCCTCTGACTTTATGCCGGAGGAAAAAGCTAAGTGTTGTTGGTCAGAGAAACCCTCCGTGTGTCTGACAACCACCTTGTGTCTAAAAAGAGACTCTGAATGCAAGTTACTCCTGAGGAATCTTGTTGAAGAGGAATGGGCTAAAATTAGGGTTAGGCTCCATGGACAAGCCCAGTCCAAAACTACTACCACAGGCTATAAGCAGCACACCAAAGGTGAGATCTGATTAAGTGGAGCTCGTTCACCCACACTCTGCACACTGATCTGTAGTGCTAACCACTGTTAATCCATTCGAGGCTAAAGAATTACAGAACTGGATGGAAGGAAATCTTCTAGAAACATATCAGCCTGATCACAATATAGAAAAGGCTAGAACCTACCTTGCACAACTCAACTCCTACTTTCATATCTTGGACTCTCATGCTCTTTCTTTACCCTTTTCCCATATTTCAATTGACTCTACTTGTGCTCTTTGAAATTTTCACCTTCTCTTGCCCCTGTGCTGCCCCTTAAGTGACACCAAAATACACCTCTTCTGCAGTTCGTGACTTGCCTCTTCCATCCTTGTTAACACTCTCCACATCAGACAAAGCATAAAAATGACACAACTACACTATACTGTAAAGACTGTGTCTAATCCAAAAAGTCCGATATTAGCTTTCATGCAGAGTCACAAGTGCTATTTAATTTTAATATTAATCTTTGCTCCTAAGCGACGAACTGCATGTTCAGGAAGTAAATACTCACATTCCATCAAAATTTAACAAAATCAGATTCACAAGTAGCTATCATTCTAATGTCATTTTCCATGAAAAAAGCATTACAATGTGGTTGTCAGCCACAGTTACACTGCCTTGTCCATCTTACGAGAAAAAAAAAATTGAGTTCAAAGAAAAACGGATGTGTGAGACACTGGAACAATGAGGAAGTAAATTTTCATGTAAAGCATAGCGTATTTGCATATTCAGTTAAAACTTGTTGATGTTTCTCAAATAGCTTATCCGTTATCCTGGTAACTGGCATTAAAATACCTCTAGCGTTAATACATGCACAGTTGTACCTTGGAAGAGCAGTAATCTTCCCCCACTTCTCTACACAGAATCTTCTTGGACCATTGCTCCCCCGTAGAGAGGCAAACCCTTCATAAGGTATGCTGGACGTGCCTGTAACAAACTGCCAGCACAAACAAAACATCACGGATATTGGATACACAGATGGTGCGGGTTAGAAATTTATTTATATCAGCATACCCACTGAAGTCCAAAGGCTTATGTAAAAGCATTTGCAAAATAAGGAAATTTGTGAGGCACAAGTAATAAAGGCTACTTGAAATGGAGGATAAGGGAAAATGGACTACTTCCTGAGAGGGCTCTAGAAGAGACAACTTAGCAGATTAATTTCCTTCAAAGGTTTCTCTTTGAAAGAGTAATTATGCTACATAGATACTGTAGAATAAACCACTATTAATATCAAGTTACTTCAACTTAAGCCTAAGTGAGTTTTCCCCTACTGTTTTTATTCTGTATTGAGAGGAACTAATAGAAGAGTAATTGTGCATAATGGCTTCCTGTTAAGCCTTTTTGGCTACGTGGATAGCAGTATCTATAAACTGTTATTAAATACTGTAAGAAAAGGACTAAATTCTGAAGGTTAGGTGGAATGCCCACTGACATTTGCTGAATTGCTGTCTATTCAACAGATTTAGTTAGAACCTGTGATGAACAGATCAAACGTGGGTTTTGACAGATCAGAGGCTACTTAATTTTTAATGATCTGGATATGATAAAAACTTTTGACTAACAGATGTGAGAGGAGTATATAAGCAGACATCTCTGGCTCTCCATCAAATAAGATTTCCTGCACTGCTTTTTACAGACCTTTCTTAAGTACTTAAATAGATTAAGAAAGAAAATCCTTCATCATACTCATCTAGGTAACTCAATGATCAAATGAAATTCTGAATTGTTAAAACCAGTGGATTTCATGATTGATCAAGAACATGGTATGGTTTGGGCTGGGGGTTTGTCTGTTTCTTTATAGATATGATGGACATAACCTGAATTTTAAAAAATTTCAGTCAATAGTAAACCCATGTGTATAAATATTCCTCTGTTGAGAGGTTTTCATCCTTCGTCAGCAGGATGACTGGATTCTGCAAGCTGACTTAGTGAAATGGAATTGGGCTGATTTTCAGGTTTTCATCATTGTTTTCTAATGTGAGGCACTTTAACTTCCATTTAAGTTTTCTCCTTCCTAAGCTGTACAATTATTAAAATTTCTACTTCATGATATAACCAATTACACGGTTTTCCTTTTCTAGCTTTACTAGTCTTAATGTACTTTTAATCAAACAATAGTACAAGATTATTAACATCAGATACTTTACCTTAAATGTATTTTTAAACTTTGAAATCTATAAAAATAGCTGTGAGCTTCAGTCACTTAAAATTATTACAGTTAGTCTCTGAGGATTGTCAGGTTATTCCCACTAGCCAGCATCACCATAAACCTGGATGGGACTAGTTCAGCATCTAATTTTAACGATGCACAGTATTTCTACACAGATCAGCCCATTTCTTACCTGTAGAAGTCTTAGTCGCTGTTCATTGTTGAATCTTTCCACAGCAGCCCAGAACCACCGAATTACAATGTGATTGTCATGATAACCTGTTAAAACAAGAAAAGCCTTTGTACCTTTAGGTGCTACAAAAGTGGTTGAGAGGATAGTTTTTCCTAGTTTGGCCCCAGTCACAATAATGCCGTATTTCTTACTCAATTGCAGCAAAAGAAGGAAGTGAGAGAAGAACACTCCCTAAATGCTTAAAAATCTTAAAAGCAGAGAATTAATTTACTATGACAAAAAGGAGTGAAATCTCTTTTGCAAGCATTTCTTCCGCTAACCAATCACTAACAGGAACGCCAATTCTTGAAATATTCCATGGCTGTGCTTTTTATGTATGTAAAGCTACAAACGATGCTGCAACCATCTCTCTCGAAGTAGTTCCCAAATCTTTTTACATTGATTACCTTCTCCTAACGCAAACGTAACCACAGAAATTCAGAAGATACTGGTTCTTCAGTGTCTTAGAAACTAGGTATTTCCAGGCCCCCCCAATGCTGCCAGTGAACAAGTCCAAATTAAGGTTACCTCCTCTATACTCTGTGTTATTTCTCCAATCACTCAAGTCGATTTCTGCTGTCCCAGCTATAACCAGTTCCAGTTCTCTGGCATCAAACACAGACACGAGCCTCGCGTCAACCACCTGTGAAAGGAAATAAAATGCAGAACACAACATTTCTTCATTTTTTCATTTTTGCCTCCCCTTAAAAGGCTAGCCTGCTACTAAGACATTTATCAGGTAACATTTCTCTCACAAATTGAAAGAATTAAGTTTTTTTTTTCTTTTTAAAGGCAAAAAAATGGACTTCTTTTTCTTACACTGCAGTTCCATTCAGTTTCATTAGAGGATCTCAGTGATTTGGAGAGAATTTTATCGGCAAATAATATTGAATAATTTCAGGACAAATTAAGTTCAATACATTCAATTTAACTGTCCATGTTAAAACAGGCAAGAGAGAAATACCCTGAAATACACGCAGTCTACACTGAGTGTGGCACGCACACAAAAAACCTTATAGGCTCAATGAAGAAACAGGTGGGTCACTTTAGCAAGCATTCCCTGCTAATCATCCAAATAGTGATCAATAGTATTTTCCAGTTTAAAGAAGATAGATAACTACAGTGTTTAAGTCAATGACTAACAATGATTTTATCCCTCTCCCCCAGATATCTGTAGGGCACTTCTGATTATATATGTATCTGCTTTTTGGGACTCTCTATTTGGGAAATGTTTATGAGGAGAAAAACATTTTGAGAGGATAAAGGAAGAAAGTAAATTTCATTTTGAGTTTCTTACCTCATAGAAACCACGAACTAGACTTTCTGTTTGTTGTACAACTCCTCTTTCAATTCTCCATTTCACCATTCTTTCTATATATTCTTTCTTGTTCTTTTCAGTGACTGGGATGTTGGCACCTCCTGGCTTTAATTCCCGTTCTGTGATCTTAGAAAAAAAATGACCAAGTGACACCACAGTATTATAAAGACAAAAGAAAGAATTACAGTAATTTAAACTTTTAAGTTGAAGTAATTCCTCAAAAGCACTGGCCAAGGCTGACTGTAGCAAACTGGAATATGTGAAATAACAAAACATACAACCAATCTTTTTTTGGATAAAATAATATTTTAAATCCCATTTAGTCTGAAGACTCTTCATATTTAGCTGAGAAGAAGAAACAATCTTTACAGCACTTGAAGTAGCGAAGTCTTCTAAATAATATCGTAACAAAGGTGTTGTTATACCTTTGAATGCTAACTCTGCTGCAACTAAATTCAAGTAAAATACCTCCAGGAGAGCAATCTAAAATTTTGATATTTCAGCTAGTCTCCAGAAAATCTCCTTAACCAGAAAGACACGTTTGACTGGTTACAAATAATAATTCTTCCTTAGATTTCACCATTGTTTTCATCAACCAGAATTTTATAAAAACAAGTTCAAATCAGCATGGAATGACAATCATTCTTCCCTCCAAATAAATGTTTATCTAGCAGTAGAATACACAAAGGAAATTAAATTAAGAATCTTGCACACCTGCCCAAAAACTTCTTCATTTACAGTAAATGTGAGATCTAGGATATCATGTATATCATTGTCTTTCATCCACTGCAAACTCTGGTGAAACTCCTCGTCGAGATATTCCAGGTCACTCAGGTCACAGAGTCTAACATAAACGAGAAGAAAACACACACACACATGTAGATGATGGCAGTAGCGTGTGCTCACTAACTAAAGTCAGATAGGACAGTCCTGAAAAACGGACTGAGAATGGGAGCCAAGAGTAAAATCAACAGAACAAAGAAGACATTACTTCAAATCTCCATTTATTGGCCTAGTAATAGCAGTTACTGTGTAACACAGAAAGGTACAAAACTCCAGAATTTATTAATTTGAAGACACATTTCTTTTTAAGCTTATGGTGAGTCTGTCCCATGTTTCTTGTGAAGAATATTTTGGAATTATGAAAATATATAGATTGGAGAGACAAAAAATTCAAATCATAAAAGAAATTGTAGGTTTTTATAACAGGCAACTACTATCCTTTTTGCTTATGTGACTACACTGCCACCTTTCTCATCTCTTCATTGTGCAAAGAAGTCTGTTCAGATACCCTGCTTATCACAGAAATAACTTTTTATTTTTTGCCATATAATCCCCTTACCTGGTCCTTCTTTTACAAATCCAACCTGTAAGCCAACTGCCCCTTGCTGTCTTTAACAGTTACTACTCTAAGCTTCGAACATGTCAGCTGTTAATAATAATATTGTGGTGGCAATTTCTGCCATTCTCAACTCCTTAAATCTTTTTTTGAGAAATAGGACACTGAGGCTATACATTAAGCAAGGTGCTTTTCAGCTGCAGGGTTCTCTGCTTTAATTCTTGGGTTCATACATAGTCCAAAGAAAGCCCTGTACTTTTAGTTGGACGCTCGAGTGTAGTTTTAGTGACATCCTGCAGTAACAGCCCGTACATCAAAGTTGATGAATTGGGCACAATGTCCCATGTACAGAGGGAGCCTCGCTGGCTCATCAGTTCTGAGGAAAGCGAAGGTCCGGGGCTTAGATAGGGAAGTTGCATGAATTAGGCTGTGTATAAAGGTGGCCGCCCCATTGTTTTTAATTTTACTGTTTAGAGAACCACCAAGTTAAACAATTAATTTAATTTGGCAGTCACACAATATTAAAGTCCATCTGGGGTAATCCTCATTCTTATTAAAATGATTCTGTTAGCATTTAGGTACTTTTAAAATATATGTGCAATAGGAATGGATGTATTACTCCATGCTACTAGAATGTATGATGTTTTATACAAAAAATATCCTTCCAGTTTTCTCAAAAACAGCTTTCAAATGGAGGACAAAAAGGGAAGGACCTTAAGTTCATTAGGTCTTAAATTCCAGACATGCTGAGCAAATGCCACTCTCGTTGTTTCAGCCAGAACAGGAGGAGTAGTTCTGAAAATGGAGTCTAAAGAATATCAAAGTAAAGCTCCTCGAAATGGAGATTGCTGACAATCAGTCTACCTCTGAGCACGGGTCTTGCAGTCTTAAGTTATGAAGTGATTCATATCCTATCCTGTGAGTCATTACAAGACAAATGAGTAAGAAGTCTATTAACTTCGGGAATACAATCACAGTGTTTCATTGTACAACTTAAAATGTAAGATTTTGTAGAAGCAAGCTGATAACATGGCTAAACAAAACATGAGCTTTTCATACGGGTCAAAACCAACACTCTGAGTTATTTGATAGATAACTGGCTAATAACCATAATCAGAAACAAATAAGCTTTTAATAGAAGTCCTGGACTGAAATGAAATTATTGAATTATAAATAATGGCCTGTCTTCTTGGACGATAAAACATCATAATCTATCCATACACCCCATTGTCCATGGGGAAAGAATCAAACAAAAAAGGAGACAGAACAATTCTACTCACATTCGGAGGAGGGCTTTATAAAAGGGGCGTGTAAAAAAGGCATCTAGCAAATACTGATGTATCAAAGCAAGACCAAGAATCCGACCGCTAAACCTGAACCTGGAAGAGAAAGAGTTACAGTTGTTACACTGAAACTTTGTGGTTTGTACACTGCTCTGTCATCAAAACTTACATATATTTCCAAACAGCATTTTTAAATCAGATAGCTATGTCTAAATTATGGTATTTTTGGTTTTTTCTTGTGTTTCTTTTACATTCTCAGCAAGGCACAGAAAAAATGCAAGTCCGCAGGGTGTGGAAAATCCCTCACATACCTCAGTTGCAACTTCTCAAAAATGTCAAATCCCTGTTAACCCAGTCAACCCCTGCCAGACTAGACTCTTTATAAAAGCCTATCTTCCAAAACGATAGCCACTGTCTATTTTCTTTACACTCCTCATATAGGATTAACGTGTTTTCATGCTACTGGGAGGCCAAAGGTTTTTCTGCCCTTTCCCAGCCTGACAGTTCTTGCTGTCTTTTCTGCTTACACTGGCTCCTTGCTCTCTCTTCTGACTGGTGATTATGGAGTTCCATATATATATTTTCACAACCAGTAGCTGGAAGCTTTTTTGTGTATCACAGTGCTCTCCAGCCTGATGTCCACAGGATCTAAATTACCTCCTTCTCTTCCCTCTCTCTTTCTTTCCCTCCTATCTTCATTTTGTCAAGTGCGTAAGGAGGGTTGTGTGGGAGGGAGAGAGTCTGACAGATTTGAGATTAGACCGCAGCAACTTTGAAATTATAGAGTCTTTGCAAATATTGCCATGAGAATAATGATCCATTATGAAGAATCCTCTGTATCTCTGGAACTAGATTTAAGTCTAGTGTTCTTTTTCAAAGAAAACAATGTTTCTTAAACTTTCTGTTTATGCATCTTCAGCAATATATTTCTTGGAAAGATTAGGGCTGCTTTATACCTGCCTGTACACAGGGTTTCCAAGCTAAGGATGTGCATTCTTCCATGCCTTCTCCTTCCATGCATAACTGCTTGTCACAGCTGCATTTTCTGAATTTTTCCTGACGCTGTACAAGACTATTGCTGTCACTGGCACCAGCACTCCCAGAAAGAGAGGTGGGGGTCATGTCCCCCTTGTCCCCAGGGTCTCTGGTCCAGCACTGGCAGAAGCCAGGGTTGAATACAAAATGTTGGCAGAAGCCGCATAGAACGTAAGGTTTTTTGTCCTCTTTTTGCCAGACTGTTCTGCTTTTCCAGTACAGCATATACCATTTATTGTTGCAGTATTGGAGTTCAACAGGTAGGTTGCTTCAACTAACTGAACTGGATGCAGCCAACCATTTAATTTTCTATTAATTTTTAAAACTAGTAATGAGATTCCCTTCTGATATTCATTCTTCATAACTGCCTTTCAATAAATAAGAACTCAGTACATATCTGTCCTACACAGAGGAGCAGTTGTCATTCCACTATTACTGTAATCAAACTACCTACACAACAGAATTCTCTGTTAATATTCTCAGCACAGCTTTACAGACTTATGGCGATGCCATGGCTTAAATCAACTCAGGGAGATTTAAACTGGCTTATTATTGTGAAAATGGGATTATGTAAAAATCCTGGATAACTATTTTAGAAGCGTGTGTGTATGTACAGACTTTGCTTAAGAGCTATGTAATCAGCAGCCTTTCCCCCACGCCTAATTAAGATACCTCCGTAGATTTCTTTCCAATAGATATGTTGGGGTTTTTCCACTGAGGACACCTCTGTACTCTTTAGGAAGACTCAAACAAATTATATACAGTAACACCTGCTTGAAATCTCCTGTAATCTCCTTAGTTGACAAAAAGCCAATGTTTCTTTCTTTTTTTCTTTTTAATGCACAAGAGGCTATTACTGCCTTCATGAAATGACTGTTAACGTACAAGAAATGCAGACTTGTGTTGTGAGACAATCCCATGGTACATGTTCCAAATCATAGTTTTGCTGACCTTGTGAGAAATAAGATCATTTAAAACCACAAGAGAAAACAAGATCAGGAAAGTCCAAAGAAATGCCATTATTTTGCTGCTGGTTGAAAAGATCAGATTCTGTGTTATATGTCTGAGCAGATATGAGCAGTTGTCTGTAAGTGGGAAAAACAGAAAACATATCTGAAAAACAAAAATAATTCTTACCACTCATGGTGATTGTCGACAAAAGCAGACATGGGACTTATTTGTACTGTATAGGTATCATTGGCTGAATATTCAAACAAACCATAATATGGATTGAAGAGCTCTCTAGACACCAGGAAAAAAAACTCTCTCGAAGGTCCACTGTAGTCCAACCTTTAAAGAGAAACTTGACATTACTATAAAGCGTTCATTGTATGCAAAGAAACACTTTTTAAATCTACATTCCTCATGCCATATTTTAATTAAAATTTCCTAAGATTTTAACCAGAACCCTTATCCTGCAGATTGCTTAATGCCAAGGTATGTGAAATCCTCACGGGGCCATTCTGAAATGGAATGGCTTGGAGGGCTGGACTGCAGTACTCTGTGCGGGCTGCTCTCATCAAAAATTTTGGCTCCAGCTGTAATGGCCTCTTTGTCACAGGAATATAATCAAATAATTGGGGGTAGTGAGGGGAGGAGGAAACATGAAAGAACCATTAGACTTATCTGCATCTGATAAATTAAGAATGAAAATGAACAATGATCATATTTTGTCTTCACAGACTTGCAACAATAGGACAATTTGACAGATAATATTTCTGTTTTCCCTAGCAATATAAGCTGAGATTACCTCAGTGATTTCTCTCTCTTGGTCTAAATTTTCTTGTCTGTCTTCCAAACTTGAGTGCACTTAAATGTCTTTTGGAGAGCGCATTTCCTTTGTATTTTTTTTTTGCTATTTCAAGATTTCAGTACTAATGAACAAGGAATCTAAATTACCCCTTCCTCCTGAATGATAAACAAACTCATTGCTGACAAAACACTGAGACTGAATTTTGACATTATGCTGCAGGTCACCAGTGCAATGAGTTAAGTATGAAGTTAACACTCTGGTAGAGTTGGAAAACAGAACACTAGAGATTTTCCTGGGGGGAACAGAGATTATAATAATCCTAGCAAATAGATATAAAGATATATCTTCTATAGATTGAAGATTTCATACTTGACTTTTAGAAGGTCTTGCTATAGTACTAAGACAATGCACTGACAGCAGTATCACAGAGAAGGTCAGCTGTCACATAGGACTTCTGCTAATAATGTTTTGGCTCATGAACTTTTACAACAGAAGGCAAACATCAATGAGAGTGTTTTTGAGGATGAAGTTGTCAGGAAAGTAAAGGCTATGTGCCATTTTCAAGTTGAGGACAAAGCCTCTTTCCCCTGTTGAAGGAAACACATTTTCCCTTCAGTCATTTGGAAGCACTTTGCTTCTGTTAAGCTTCAGAGCAAAGTACTGAAACAGATCCTTACTCTGGCAAGAAAGGTAGATTCCATCCTCAAACTGCAGAAAAAAATCCAAAATGGTTTGGTATCATGGACAGCTGTTGGATCTTAACCTTGGCACAAATACTAGGATCAAGTAAAGGGTCATCTGGAAGACCCTTGCAAACTTCTGGGATAATCGGGCTCACTATGAAATCTTAAGATAGAACAGAAACCGTGTGCCTGACTACCAGCCACTTCATACAGCTCCTTTTGTATGCAGAGTTACTGTGAGTCATGTTAAATAAATCAATCATGAGAGTCCTGCACTGCCAGTCAGATTTATCCCACAATTAAAGGCTTGGCACAAGGGTGAGAAAACTTCATACAAGAGGTATGCAACCACACAACAGCTGCAACTGTGGGGCATCTGGGTATCCATGAGTAGAGCAGTATGTTGTTGGCAACATGACTCATGTCTCCTAGGAAGCACCATTAATACTTTAGGTATACCACTCTTAAATGCAGAGCAGCTTCTGCTAATAGTCAATAGAACTTGGGGAAAATAACTTTAAGAAACCATATTCTTTGTATCAAAATTTTCTTCATTTATCACCACATCAAGTATGAACGTAAAAACATTAAACTAGCATCACAACTGCATGACTGTAGAAACTGAAGGTTTGAGTAAGATACCAAACATTTATGAGACTTTTATGAGATAAAAATCATATGAACAGCAATAACTATGTCTGACTCACCCCACTTACTAATTTATACACTAATTAATCAATAGTTAATAAAATCTTTTCATTTGTGAGGTTTTCATTACCTGTTACTTTAAGACTTAAACCTCTTTACCAAGAGGAAAAGAAATGCCGGAGCAAACTCCCACTTAAAAACTTAAAAAAGGAAAAGGAGGAGCAAATAGGAAACAATTAACTTTCAGTATTCCTCCTCCTCATCGTCCTCCTTTCCTCCACCCTGACCTGTCTTTCTCCACCTAGCCAAATGAATAGTTTGATGTGGTGCATATCCTTGCACCATCTCTGATGAAACAATACTGTTTGCACACATCCTTCCTCCATTCAAAACACAGATTTGTAAATAGAGAATTGACGTCATTTTAATTTGACTTTGCTCTTAATTAACTCATTCTTTTCCATTAAGAGAGTCTTGTGTAAAGCTGGATATAATGGGAACAGGACACGTCACTCCCATTTCCAGGTCACCCTTCATCTTGCTGTACTGAGTGATGAAATGCAAAAGCCCGACGTCTGATGAAAGGAGACAGTCTATCTGGATCAATCTCTATCTCATGTATGATTTTAAAAATCTTCCCTTTCATTTCTAAATCTGAGTCGAGGCTGTAGCTGTGAAAGTGAAGACTGGTAGGGCTGTGTAAGACGGGCCTCGTTCCTGCATCCCCACCCTGCTCTGTCAATATAATCTCATCCTGCACCAGCCTTGTCATTCCAGTTCTCAGTGTCTCCTCAGACAGCGCGGTGATATTATTTATACGAACAAGTCTGCACTTGGCTCTCAGCTGTCAACATTTTTTATTTTAAGACTTCGGTGAGTCCTTATTAACACTAAGCACTTCAGGGTGAACTTTAAACAAACAACAGGATTTAGGGGTCTTCAAAGACAGATTAATTTTATCTAATCTTGCATGAGATGTTTCTATTAGAACTTAGCTATTTTAAAGACTCATACATCACATGGCAATAACACACACTACAGCATTCCAAGAGCTGTGTGCTGCAGTTTCCTAAATATCAAGGAATAAAATTTTGAATGTATTTTACAAATACCTTCACAAAATACATCAATAAAAATATTTGTCCCTAAGGCAGCAGGCTTTAAGATCCGACAAAGGGGGCACAAATCAAGAGATGAAAGAGGCAAATAGCACATTGTTCCAGTTTCACTTGCAAAGAAAATCTAACCGCATCTTGCTTTGCAACGCACATCTCACAACCTGCAGCACGTTAGACTTTCATTAGACACAGACTGAGCATTCTCTAAAGTGACTGTGAAACAGGACATATGTGACAGGAATATTTGTGTTTATTCGACAGCGAGCAACAGCCTATTGTTTTTATTCCTGACGCGGGCCCTGGCGGGGAGAGGCAGTGAGCACCTCCCGTAGCACTGAGGGCTTTTGGCTCCCATTGCTCCAGGGAGGAGTTGAATTAAGGATTAAGCCTCTAGCCTACTCTTGAAGCACCCTCCCTCCAACAAATGGCAGCTGTCTTTTAACAAGCACTGGAGCTATAATGTCCGCACTGACAGAAGTATGAATAACACAAGAAAGTGGTTTTTTTTCTTTGCTTTCCCAGCAACATTCTGAAAGACATACCAACTGTTGTGAAAATTCACATAAACACACGCATTACTTCTGCAAAGGCAGGCTATGTTACATTTCACAATGCCTAAAAAGTCATCTTGAACAGCTGTATGTTCTAGGCCTATGTATGTGGCATTTCCTGACTGCAGTCCTTCCTCTTTTCACTCTAGAGTTTGGTGAAACAGCAGCTGCAAGACACTCTGAGTTCCGAGATCACATTTACTTCCCTGTTCTACTCACCCTTCTTCCCCAACAAACGTGACATAGAGTTTATTTCTCTGCAGGTCTTTTCTTGAGTAGCCCATGATCTGGTTAAATGCATCTTCTAGCAAGTGATCTCTCCTGATGATTAATCTGAAGAACAAAACAATTTTGAAACAGCAATTTGTGAAGATGAACCACAGCTGGAAACACTTACTTACACTGCAAGGTAACAGGGTGACTTCACAGAGATACACATTTCTGCTAGATAATTTGATCCAGATTAAGCAGCTTCTGTGTGTTAGTCTGTCTTCCTCAAGGATCTACTTTAGATTTCAGTGAGATGTCTGTCATACAAAGAAGTGTAGTTTTATTTTTTTCTACCCTGGTTCCTCCTTTATTTAAAGGCTTCAATGGGAAAGGTCCTGAAAGTGGGAATTTTCATTACATTTAAAATTTTTTTGTAAGGCTAGGCCTCTAAATCAGTCTTACTGTAAGCAAGAATCTAACCTTTTCAGTAAAAATTGACCTCTTAACAAGGAAAAAGATAAAACCATGGGAAAGTCACTGAATGGTAACTCCAGAATCACACATCCCTACATTATTTTAGACAAAAAGTCTAGAAGGAATGGCAATTGTTTGTCTGAAACCAGACTGAGCATCACCTTCTAAAAGAAAAATTGTGAAAGTGAGCAAGTGTCATAAAGATCTAAAATAAGAAGAATCCTCCTTGCTTAAACATTTTATCTTCTGCCAAAAAACTGTGTTTAATTAGTTTCCTGAAACTTAAGCTTGCTTTATATTCAAATACTGCCTTACGTGAGCATTTGATCAGTCAAGTCAGACCGAAGCTGAGAGCTGCTGCTGCCCACGGAGAGGCAGCTTCCCGCTCCACACAGCCTCCTGCAGAGCCTGTGCGGAGCTCCGTCAGCAACGGCACTGTGCTGTCCCGCAGCGGGGACCGATGTGGAGAGGCCAGGAACTGGCAAAGTACCTGGGCAAGAAGAGGACCCAGGCAGTATGCAAGGTGTGCTGGGGTCCCGGTTTGAAAAAAAGGAGCAGGTCAGTGTATGCCTGGGAAAAGAACCCAGAGGAAACTTCTGTTCAAACATTAAGCTGTTGTCCTGCTTAAAAATCCACAGCACGGAAAATAGGAAAAAAAGGTGCAAGAAATGTAATAGATCTTACAGGTAGCAAATGCCATCCTCTTCTACCACCTATTTGCCCAAGCATTCATAGCAAAACTTTCATAGATTCAGCTTTAAGTGCTTATGATTTCATTACATTATAGGCAGACAATGTCCCTGCCCCTTAAGACTGTCTACACAATACCATTTTAATCTCATTTCAGTTGTGGAAACTTTTAACAAGCTCACATAAATGAAGTCTGAGCTCTGCACAAATTCCTGCAAAATGCAAGAAGTGACTGGCTGGGGAAAATTAAAAAATCCACAAAACCACAAACAGAAAAACCCCACTCCCACTATTCTAATAGAACAAATCATTAAAAAAAGTTGTAGTACCTTGTGGCTACTATGAGAGTATCAAACTAGGAGAGTTTTGACAGCTGGCACAAGACTTGGTAATTTACATAATTATCAAAGTATCTTATGGTTATGATCCTTAACTTAACAGTATATAATCACACAATCACCAAATAAATAAAGGAGGGAAGACCTCACTCCAAGGACTCTACCATTCGGAGTGCTGAAGTAAAAGTATTAGCAGTTTTTTAAAGCAATCCTTAGAATTTAGTAACATTTAATTTTATGAGTCCTCTTTAGTAAAGAGGACTGTGATATCAATACAGGCAATGATGTACAAAGAAAAGCCTATCTAGTTTTTTCAATGGAAAAAGACATGAGAAAAATGTACTGTTTATATCATAGCAGGAAGAATTTATATCATAATGGAAGAATTCAGATGCCTCATGTTCTGCATGCCTCTTCCCAAAGCACTTTTTGGCACTGTATTGGTAATATCGTTTGTATGAAAATACAGTTGGAGGCAACATAGAAAAGAAGGGCTCAGAACTTGCTTTATCTTCTGCTATGACTCAAATACTGGCACTAAGTCTTTTATGACAGGCTTTGTATTTCCAGAAGTGCAAGGGTAACCATAACATCTGCATTCCTTCTGATGGGAAGAAGCTTGTAGATGTGCAAGGCAAGGCAAGCTGCCCAAGAAACAAAACCAGTTTCATGAGATTCTTCAACATACTTCAATTTCCCTGGGCCTTGTCCATATCCTTTAGTCTCCAGCTTCCTGTAAAAGTTTCTCAGCTTGGCTTCAAAATCTCTTTTGTAAGGAGCTGGAGCTCGGGCATTGGCACGCTGAGTACCTGCAGGAAGCAATAAGCAAAGAATGAGCTGTAGCGACATGAACTGATTAATGTCCCATCCTCTGCCGAAAAGACTCCTTAATAGCAAAAGGCATGGTATGTGGTTTTGTTTAGTCACTTTTATAAAGGGCAAAAGCTGCGTATCTTCAAATCCGCTCTGCGTCCAAGATTTTTTGGTTGCTCGTTTCCAACAGTATCATCTTTCTACAGTCAGTCTTAAAAGAGCAAATCCAGGTCAACGCAAAATTTGGATTAAATTAACCAGCACGATCAACTGGCAAGGCTTAACTTTTGTTTGTCAAGTACACTTTACATCTAACCTTTACAATAGCTCATGCAATAAATGTTCTGCTCTGCTCTGGTTTTAACATTATCAGGAAAAACAAGAACTCAGAAATGAAGGATAAACAGACTGTACTCTGCTCTGCCCCAGTTGAATAGATCAAGCTGGAGAAAGGAGACTTTTGGAAATTCCCTAGTAGAAGTTTTTCCTTGGGGAAGTACAAGGAAGAAAAACATTGGAAGAAAGGACAGACTACCAAGTTTAAGTTTGTGGAGCTTTTCACATGTGACTGCAGGAACAAACATGAAGGTCATCTAAGTGAATTTATTTTTGAAAAACTGGTTTTGAGAATCAATTTCTTAAAAGCAGGGATAGATGAGGTCTGTATGCCCCAAAAATGGCATACCCCCACATCTGCATGGACAAGTCTAGTATATACAAATTACGTGTTTAGTCTGATCTACTATGAATATTACAACCATTAGAACTTCCACTGCCTCCCTGGATGAATTACTTCTGCTGATTTGATTGCCAGACAGTGTACTGAAGAGGTAGCTAATCCTCACCCTTTTACGTTCATCTCCTCACCCCTAGTTTTTATAACATTAAATTTCTCCCCTGCAGGGCTGTGTAGACATCCCCCACAAAAAACTCAGAGGACGTTTAAAATTTCTTATGCCCTACAGTATACATAGGTTGCCAACTACTTATCTGTAACTGGTGGTCATCTAACAGGCCCACAATGCGCTGGAAATGCAAATTCACAGTTTAGAAGCACGTGTATGTGGACTTCTGTCTTTTAAGCAACAATCAGTTCCCTATGTAAGTTTTCTTTTGGCTCCTTGTATGAAACCAAGCCAATACAGAAACATTTGTTGCTACTAGGGGTGAAGGCATGAGAATGTAAGGTTTCAGGTTGTGAAAGAGAGAGAATGTGTATCCGTTCAGCCTGTGGGCAGAGACCACGGGAAAAAGAGAGCAGCTTGCTTAGCCGCAGAGCACACGGGTCTGACGGCAAAGGCGAGGAGCACATCCTGCGGAAGTGGCTGCTGGAAGAAGCTGCAGACATCAAAGAGAGAACAAGGGAGATCAGTGTTAACGCTTAATGCCGTTTGCAGGTCTTTAAAAGACCTGTCTGACCAGAAAGACACTTGCCACTCGTTCTAGGCTTAGAGCTATGTGTGGGAGGAATAGAAAGTGTCAGGGAATTCTCAGAGCTCCAATGGGAACATGCAGGACCCCTCTGGAAGAACAGATCATGGTCGTTGATCAATCTGTAGTAGTTATCCTCTTTTACTGAGAGCACCGAGGGCTTCTAACGGTACACTCAGCTGAATTCTCCAGAAAATTTACAGAAACTTGAAACTGTAAACAGCCTTTTAATTATTGGCCTTTTCCCCCACTTTGTTTATTTTGCTTTGGGTCCAAGTAGGCACAAAAATGTAGTCATCAAAAAAACACAACAAAAGCATACTTTAATCTTAACCCCTGAAGGAAGTTTTTGCTGAGAGATACTGCAGAACATAAATCTGGTAACACATTACTTCACGGTTCAGAAATCAGCTGCATATTATTCTGTCAGCACATGACAAGTCCTCATTGCAAATCAGATGCATATGCCAAGAAATTCCTGGGCAATTACAGTGATTACTTCCGCCTTGGGAACAAAAGATGTTAATGGAAGAGCTAAAAAATGCCAGTGATGTGATAATCATATTTGCTTTTCAAAGAGGTTATATTCTAAAGCAGATATAAAGAGCGGCTTCATGACTATTCATCTTTCCCAAAAGAGAAAGTACAACCGATTGTGACTGATCTGAACAATGGATCCTTAACACGCAACCTCGTGCAGCACAGCATAGCCTTAGCTGATGAAAAAACACAGAGCCTCCTTAGAAACGACAGGCTATTTACAACTTCTCATCAAAAAAGTCATTTGTACACCAACGCAAACATGCATGCTCGCAGACTGACGGGGAGATTCAATGGTTTCTCTATATTTTTCTATGAAATAGAACAGAGATTACAATTTGAAGGACTAAAACCATCACTGTTGACCCTTTACTGTGTGTGCCACTACTTTGAAGAATAGATGAGAATATCACATGCTAAAGGTTGAACGCATTTTGAAATTACTTTTGTTGGAGTGAAGCCCTGCCCAGCATGCTTTGGTGCATGTACTAGTAACGAAGAAATTGTAACTCTGAAAGCCAAAACTCCTTTTACTCAGGAAAGACTGCCAGGTTTGCAGTTGGAAATAAAATGCATACATGCAGATTTCATTCTTTTCTTTTCAACAAAGGGAAACAGTTATATCTAAATCGTATATGTATCAAAAACATCAATATGTATTAAAAACTCATATGCATCAAAAGTATCAATACATGTGAGTATTCTAGTTTGCTGCTTTGCAGAATACTGTAAGATCATTAAGGTGTTGGGATAGTTTCTTTGAATAGGTCCTACAGAGGTCCTTGTCCAGCAACAGAAAAAGCTACCACTCAGGACATGTTTAAGAACGGTTTTAATCTGGTTTCTTGAAAAGGCAAAGCTTTTTATGATTGTGGACCAGGAAACAGGCACAAAAATCACAGTAGTTTTTCTGATAAAATTTTCTTATTGTCTGGAACTATCTGGAGTGGCTTACATCCCAAATGGTCTCTATTTATCTGTACCTTTGTTCTCCAGTTTGTAGAAATCCCCTTAAGCTACTTCCAATTTACTGCACTGATTTGATTTTAATTACCTATTATCTTCTTGAGAAAACTAAGAATAGCAATATCTATAAACTTTAAATTGCTGTACTTAGCCCTCAGAGGTCAAATGGAACTTGTCATATTTGAAATAATTTAGTTCTGATCTGCAACTTAGTTAATACGTGACGTATCAATTTCATTCCGTTCTGACATGTGTATTTCCAGACAGCTGCAGTATACTATCTTTTGAACTCACGTTAAGGGACAACAATCTGGCTTTACATAAAATTGTCACTCATTGCCCCACAGCCCCATTAACTCTGTCATTTTAATGTACAGTTATTAGACCTCATATCTTTAATTCTCTAGGCATCAGGATCTGGGCATGAGCAGTCACTTAGTTGTTTCACATCAGTGAAAAACAAGTTTGCAAGTTTTACAAGTCAAGACAAAATCACAACCTCTGAAGTTGTAATACACCAATCTTTTCCACCGGCAAAACATCTTGTGAGCACAAGGCAGAGGTTCAAGTTTAATAGTCAAATGCAATCACACTTGTTGACTTTGCTCAAAAATAGGACTAAATCTTTGTTGTTGCTGGAGCAACAGAACTTGCATCTTCAGAAAGGTGGGAAGTCATTACATGTAGCATAATGTGAACTAAACTAGCCCTACTGCAGTATCCTACAGATACTGTCATAATGAAAGTACTGCAGTGACAAGCTCACTGACCACTCAGAAGATGCCTCAGCTCATCTAACTTTACCCATCTAAAAGCTGGGAACCACAAAGAGTTATAGTTTCCAAATAGTAGGTTCTTGGCTTTAGGCTGCCGTGAATTTCAATTTCCAAAGCAAAGAAAAAATTATAGTCAAACAATTTTTCTGTTGTTTTTGTTCTCTGACTTCTGGGAAGGCAGCA